TCATCCGGGCGTTACGGAAGTCAAAACTCTGATCCGAGGTCATTTACTCAAAAGTCAAACCTTGGTCAACTCTTCCAACTTAAAGCTTCCGAATTGAGAATTATTCTTCCAACTCTGATCTTCCCGAAAATCTAATCCGACTACGCGTCCAAGTCATAATACATGAAGTGAAGCTACTGAAGATCTCAAACCGTCGAATGACATGCTAGAGCTCAAAACGACTGGTCGGGTCGTTACATTAAGACGTTTAAGAGAGGGGAAATGTCTCTCATGTCCCACCACCCTCTTTGTTGTGTGATCTTCTCGTTGTTTAATTTCTGATGTTCCCTTTTTTTTCTTCTTTTTTTTTTTCCCACCCAAATTCAGAAACAAGAAATAGTTTGCAGGCACAAAGAATTTTTATTTCAGCAAACAAAAAAAAAGTTTTGATTTGTCAGAGTTATTCTTTAAAATCATTAGAGGTTCATTATTCTTAGGCATGGAGAAAAAAATATCAGCGAGACACTAGTATTTCGCCAATAATTAGCGGAATATTAATAATTAAAACCTTTGAACATAAATGAAGTTTCAACGACTTTTTTCTTTTCTTTTTAAGCCTCTACAACAAGTTGCCTTCTGTGTACTATTAACATGTTCCCATCGACGTGCTAAATAACAATTGTTGACCCTACGAAATCGTTTCTTCCTCTTATATTCAAATAAAAATATACTTATTAATTCCCTCGAATACCATGTTCATGTTGCTCTATTATTCCTTCTAAAATTAAAAAAAAATAGTTTTAATAGAACAAAATGGTGAAATTTATAGAATCGTTAGCATGTCAGAATCACCATGAGACTCGCGAATTTTTTTTTTAATTGCCAGACTATCGCATCAGCTTTAAGCATTGAATATATATTTCATATAAGAAAAGGATTTGGAAGGAGAGGAAGTCACAGAATAACGTCGAGGAGTGATTAAAGTTAAAATGAAATTCCAAATCCAAATGTGGAGCGTGTTAAATATTTTACTGAATTTTTTTAACATGTTTTTGGAAAACCTTTTGAGTGAAAGTTGAAGAAAAAGGTATTTGAATTTGAAGTTGAAAATATTATAAAAACTAAAAAATCTCTAATATAGCAGAGCCTTATCCGTGGAATACATAAAACTCGGTAAAGAACGCAAAATATACAACAGAATATTATGTTCTTAGATTAGATAAGCAAAAGGGCGACTAAAATAATGCAAGAACGAACAAGATATATCAAGTCTAAACGAACATTTTCATACTTTCATATACTAGGTCCACACTCCACACAAGATCCAAAGTAATCATGTTGTATTCTGTTCATATCAATTGAAACAAATCAAGAAAAGGCTAACTTGCAGATTGTCAAATGTCCAGAGGCTCAGCCCCGCGAAAACAAAAGAATGAATTTGACCAAGGGCAGTAAGCAAATACAAGCAAAAACAGGATGGTAAATATAACAGAAACTCTACCCTTATGGCTTTGATTCATCGGCATAGGTAGTACAGGGGAACCAAGTTTGGCATTTAAGTAGAGAAGGGTAGAAGGGCAGACCATTATTCACAGAGTTATTTGAAGATGGGAACAGCATAGTTATCGGTAATCATAAAGAAAATATGATTAAAACTCATGCTTGTGAACAACTTCGCCATACCTATGTAGATACAAAGCTAGTCCAAGTCACTGGCAAATACTGCTCCAACAGCATCTGCAAGGAAACTAGAGCCAGCAAGCATAATGATCAACAAGAATTAAAGAGTGTTAGAACTAAACATAGATGATAGAACCAATAGACAATAACTAAGATGTCTATTGGGAGAGTGCAGAAGATTTCCTGCTGGAATCAAAATAAAAAATGTAGATCCAATTCTCCAATAGGGAGATGGGTAGCTGTTTCCTTTATCTAATCTCTAAAGACAAGCATTTACAGTCTGAAGGCAACACCATAAATCTAGATGTACTGTAATATACTTGGATGGAAAGTTTTGATCCTTTTTTAGACATGAACCTAGTTTTTCTTTTTCTTCTCCAGATCAATTTTTATCCCAGTAACCATACTACTACAAGGTTAAAAACTCAGAAATGTAACAACTTCTCCTTTTATATTCGCACATCCAACATTACGCATTCAAGTCTCTAAAATCGCACTTTATTTTCTTCATCTACCTTAGTAGTTTATTGTATAAACTAAAATAACATAATATATATGTGCAGGCTACAGAAAACAGTTGAGAAATATGCTAACCATAGATAATGCATACTCCAAGGCTTGTGATGGTGTTAGTAAAAACGAAAAGCGTAAAAAAGAGCCAAGGTTTGCTGGAACTTAAGTGCAAGGTAAAGAACTGTGAAAATGAAGGGAAAAAGGGATTGGCATGCAAGCTCATACAACAGTTGTTTTAACTAGAACGGAATTTTTTGTATAGTGTAAGGATTAAAAATCAAATCAGTCGATTTCAAGAACCATTTTAATTTCTGATTCAAATGCAAATTTACAGTTTTAAGTTTCTGACTGATTTCCTATTCCTTATCACTAACATATATGCATTTCCTATTCCAAATCACTAATAATATATTCGTTCATAGTATTTCCTTAACCAAAAACATGAGTTGCCAAAAATGGATCCGGGGAACTTGAGGTATTCCTCCATACATTCTACAAACGGCTGATAGGAGAAAAAGGAAAAGATAAAATAGTATAGGATGATAAAGGAGAATATAAATTATTACAGGAAGGGAGAGGCAGCGGCAGATTTATAGGCAAAAACATGGGGCACGTGAACCCATGGTCTTTCCGTAAACTTAGATATTTTATGTACATATTTTCTAATATTGGTATAATATTAACTGTTGGCACCCATGCTCCAAGAAGGTCGAGTGGTGCACTTGGTTGAAGGTTGAGTCAATTACTAAGAGAATAGCGATCAATTCCCACTTAATACATTTTTTCCTCATTTTTTTAGTAGTGCACTCATATACTAAAAATCCTAGATTCACCTCTGGGAGAGGAGTAACGTCATTCACAGTCTCGTCATTCTACAGAAAGTTCGTTGTAGCTGGGAATAGGAACAGTATGGGAGACCAAAGCACCTAACAAGGCAGCTTTCTCCGCTTCATCCGCAGCCCGAGATGAAATTAATTCGAAAAACAACAAAGAGTGGTGAGGACCTGGTGTTATTTTATGCAAGGAGTAGTGGGAAATCACTGATCATAACTTACTTCAGCTACAAGTTATTGCTCCTCAGACTCTCCTTGTTCGACAGCTCGGGTGATGCCGAGGACAGTGGAACAGACTGCTACTTGTTGGAGTGCATAGAGTGTAGGCAAGACAACTAGGGCAGTATGGAAGATCATACTTATGCCTTCTCTGGACACATGGAATATAAGGAATAGGAGATCATATAAAGAAGCGAGAAGGATTTAGGATGTATCCAAATGTCTGCTTTTCATGTATCGTTTTGGCGTAACGATAGCATTCGGGTGTATATTAGATTGGGACAATTTGATGGATACTGGTGGTTGAACAGGATGGTATGGAAAAACATACCCTTATGCCTTTCTAGACTACATAGACTGAAAGGAATAGGAGATCATTTCATAGCAGCTAGAATGATATTAAATGTATCAGAACATAGTTATTTCATGTATCGTTTTATGTAAAGAAGCATTCGGGTGTGTATAGCCGAGTGGGATAACTTATAGTCACAGTGTTTGAGACTCCTTCATAGTTGTATGTATTTTTTACATTAACTTGGTGTGATATCAAGGAAATGATCTTGACTTTTTTTTAAAAAGAAAAAGAAAAAGAAAAGGGGGCCAGCTTAATGCTGCCAAATTGCCATGGCTACAGCAGTTAGCAGAACAATTCTGATCAAGAAGACAACTTTATCAATGAAATGAAAAAGAGAGATGAGCAGAAAGTTGCCATCTACTGCAGTACATTGTAGTAACACTTATAAAAGACAGCTCAGGATAATCAAATAAAAGCACGGAACATAGGCGTACTGCATGATTCAAAGTGATATGACACTCTCCTTTCCTATGACATTAGGTTATATTTTTGGTATAATTAGGAAGAACTCACCATGCTATACAGCAGACGCATTGGAGCATGAAACAACTGGAGAGCAGAGTCAACTATGAAATTCCTCAAGAGACTGCTAATAGCATTTCTCTGAAAGCACTCCAGGCACAGCATATATTACTTTGCAAGCAACAATAGCACTCATGGGAAAACCAAAGAACACAGAACCAAACTTTTCACTACCCTCAGTTAATACGCCCTGCAGTTCCTCAGAGGATACCTCGTCTACAGTATGAACGTGAAATAAAGCCACGCTCTCTTGATATGACAAGAAGAAGAGGGGCCTTGTACAGCAATAGACTGCCACTGACACCCACCTACTTCACACCAACTTCATTTCCTACACCCCGGTTACCAATAACCAAATCCCAGGACAGAACCACATAAGCTTGGTTGGTTAAAAACCACATCATAGTTGTTTTTTAGCTATCAAAAAGTGGATTCACTTGGACTGAATTTCACTTTAGCCTCCTTTTTCTATTCTTCAGCTGAGCTTAATTTTTTTTTCAAAACCCATTTCTTTCAAATTATATTTAGCATCAGATAAAGATATCTAGCCAATTTGATTAATCATAATAGCTCTAAAAAAGTTTTTAAGAGTTTTAGTCATATCATTTTCCAACAAAAAGAAATCCAACACCAATTCTTCCATAAACAAATCCTAAGCTTGTTAAACACTAAATACAAATAATCACATTTGTTTTCCAGAATCATTACCAATTCTTGCAAAACAAAATCATTTTCTAACCAACACCACCATAATGTCTCTACGCGAAATGGTGATCAGCTTGTTCATTAATACAACATGTCTTACAATCTCTTTCATTGAAACAAGTAGCTGCTCATCGACTGAGACATAACCCAACAAATTATTCTCAGATTTCATTGGCCCGGGAGACGAATAATGATTGATTCAATCAAACAGAAACTTTATTGCAGAAATATAAACAGTATGAAGATTATGCAACACAGAAAGCAGAAGACTCAAGAAAAGGAGTCGCAGAGCACCTACATTGTGAGTATTTGTACAGTAGAATACATCATTGATGGGCATAACAAGCTCCTTACAATGGAACTTTGTCCCAAGCTTCCAACAAGATACAAATGAAGCTCACTAGCCAAATCAATTAGCACAATCTGAATTCTCAGTGCCAAATGATTTCCATACTAACCACTAAGACCAAAGAATGAAAAAATTCCCATCGCACTGCTCAACCTAACAGACAGAAATACCGAATAGATGATGATAAGGCCTACACCAAGCATCTTGTTAGGGCGCATGTCATTCCTGGGAAGAACAAAGAGGGCCCATAGCAGACCAGACATGAGGAAACATATGGTGAAGAACAAACTTTTGTCCCGTGGAAGTATGAAAGAAGAAGGTTTCTCTGACCAGGCACCGAGGAATAATGAGATTCCTAACCCAATAAGCGTATTGAACATGGGACCTGCATAGCACCCAGATAAAGCAATCTGCACACCATCTCCACCATTCATCGCCAAAGCAACATTTGAGACCAGATCACCCATTGAATTGCCCCAAGCCAAAACAGTTAGCCCAAGAATTGAAGGATTAACCCCCAGTACCACACCTAATCCAACCAGCAGTGCCACCAGTTCATTCGCAATCATATAAAACCAAACGATACTCATAATAAAACCCGCTAAAACCCATGGAAGCAAAAACCTCTGAGGTGGACGGTCAGCTATTGTATACTTGTATGCAAGAATACCCAACGTGCAACCAATAGAAATGCCAAAAAATATTGCAACATTTCTGCCTAGGGTACCTTCATTGTCTTGAGTATTCCATAAAGCAGCAAGAAGAACAGGAGCTAGAGCAGCACTGCCTACAGCATATGGCTTTGACCAAGTTTCCTCCTCGACTAGGGGAATTGTCAACCGTCTTGGCACGGTCAATGGCAACTCCAGAAGTGAACAGAGCTGAGAGCAGGAAAATGACGGGCTTTTGACTTCTCCATCCTCCTCAACCCATCCCCACAAAGGTCTTTCCCCATCATGCACCTTCAGTGATTGATTAGAATATATTGCCACATTTGATGCCCACATCCACTGCGGCAAGGAACTATGTGACTGTATGCTCCTGTCTTCAGTCTCAACGTCAAGCAAAGAGCTATAAATGGAGTCATCCTCCTGAGTCCCTTCAGAAAATATACTTCCTCTAACAGGAAGCAAAGGGGTAACAACATCCAATCTCAATTTCCTTGCATGCTTCCTCAACATCTCATTGGCAGCAACAACAAAGGCATAAACAACATATATCAATACAAAAGCAATGGTTGCTCCAACACTAACCTCACCAACAATCAAGATCAACAATAGCGACATCAAAGTCACAATAAAGAAGACAATATCCCTAATAAAGCATTTCCTGTCAACCTGAACATCCTGATCAGCTACACAAAGAGAAACAGCACCCACAACAATACAAGTAACAAACACAGCCCCACCTAGAACACTGTTAAGCCCAACATCACCAGCACCACTTCCTACAAAAGCAGCAATACTCGCAAATACATCCGGAGCGCCATTACCAAGCGGGAGTAAAACAACTCCAGCAACCGTAGGCGATAGCTTCAACAAGCTAGCCAGTTTCTCCAAGGAACCACAAAAGTAATCAGCTGCAGTGTTACCCAAAAGATAGAACAATGCAGCAAGCCAAACACCAAACACTACATAAGCCCACGCACTTCCATTACAATCACAGTAATAGAACTTTAAGTAATCAAAGAACCCTCCGGACGAGCAATCCGGGTGAGCTTTCAAGAAATCACAACTACTCTTGTACCCTGCGTGATCAAACAATCCTGCACATAACTGAGGCTTTTTTACAGCTAAATCATTAGCATCAGCAGACCCGTTTACTCCTAACATCCCTCGACGAATCACACGTGTATGAGAAGAATAACCATCAAAACTACTCCTTGTGTGCCACTGACTAGGAACTAAAGATGACTCTTTTAAAATTGGATTGCTCACAATATCTTCACGGTTATAGAACAAAAACATTAGAACTAGGGCACATACAATATTGAACAACCCACGAAGCCGTGGACTTTTTCTAATGAAAAAACCATTAGATTTCTCCATTTGTCAACAAATATTTCGAATTACCCAAGAACCATAATCCTCGGTTTTTCAATTAAAAACCTACTGTAACTCGGGTAAAGCAACGAAAAGTCTTCGAATTGACTCGAATTTCGTGTAAGACAAAAAATAGCTCAAAAGCAGAAAAGGGTACTGACCAGATTGATAGGGTTCTTGGGGGAAAAACGAGGGTTTGAAATTGAAAGCGAGCTTTGAGGGGTAAATGAAGGATTGTGATAAACGTGTTTGCTCCTTTCTGAGAAGCTTCCTGCAATGGATTCCCTTTACAATTCTTCAATGTTCCCTTTGGAAGATAATGGTAATGGGTCCTAGTGAAGTCGTATTTCCTTTTTTTTTTTTTTTCTTTTTTTTTGGGTTAATTTCCTTTTTCTTTTTGGTTTAAATAAATAATATCATTTGACATACTCATTTTTCTTATCAGTACATGTGTTCGATCTTTATACATATTTTGGCTACTTGATTTTGTTACGCCTCATCACTTATTAATGTGAAAATAGCATGAGCTAGCTAGTTTTTTGAAATGGTAATAAAAAAAATAGCTAGCAATTACAAAGTCATCAAAAAATAGTAGTTATTTTAGCTAAAATACGGAAAATACCACTATAATATGATGGTTTTGGAGCTCCTATATATAAACTTCTAACATATTATATTGGAACTCCAGCATATTATATTGGAATCTTGTACGTAAAAGATTGAACTCCAGTATATTATGCTGGAATTTTTCCTGATTTTTAAGTTTATTTTATTGAGATTTTATCTTTCCATGAAAAAGTAATTACCACTTTTCAATTACTAGTTATAAATTTCTATATCTCATTTTTTCCCCATATTAATCTCTTGCTTTTAGGGGCGGTCTCCATACATATTTTTTTAGTATGTAATAATTCAAATGTAAATTCATCAGTGGTATATAATTCCTAAGTTAAAATCCTTTTTGTCTACCATTAATTTTTTTTGGAATTAACTATATGGATTCAGAAGATCCAATAAATAAGTAGATAGTAACAGTCAGTATATTTTACGAAAATATTATTCATCAATTATTATCCTATTTTAGATAAAAGCAATGAGGCCGACAAATTTCAATCAAAATTAATCTAATTGTTCAAGTACATAAGCCTCAGAACCCTTATTACAGGAGCTTAAATAAGATTATACATATGACTCATGTTCTTTTTTACCTAAGGATATATTTTTTTGGGTATATTTATATTAAAGTATAAGGATTAGAACATAGTTGGACGGATACTCAAACAGAGAATATATACACCAATATATTTGACATTTTTTTCCCTTCATTTTTTTGGGGACAAAATCTCTGTCAGTCGGTTCTGTATCTTTTTTTACTTATAAAATTTTTTATGTAGAGATATTCTTTGCGTCAAGTCAACGGAGGAAAAAAACATTTAAAAAGTTTACGCGTTTGGATTAAATTAAAAGCCAATTATTTTCCCTTTTATTTTTCCCGAATGTTTTCTATTCCGCTTCAAAAGCCTTTTCTTATTTTTTGTTTCTATATTTTAATTTTCAAGATAGGTGAAAAAGCATTTATTCCCATTTTTTAACGGAGAAGAAGAGTATAGAAAGTATTAAAGAGAACAAAAAACAGTAAAACAGAGAAAACAAAGGAAAGGAGATGTAGGAAGGAAAGATATCCAAAATAAAAACCAATCTTTCGAAATCTTCAAACCTTCAAATCTAGAAATCCCCAATTTATATCGATTTTTTCGCATAAAATTCCAATTTCAAGTACCCTTTACTGTATATATTTTTCTTGTGGGGATATATATAGAGGGTACCTATCCTTCAGATTTGTCCTTCAGATTTATAAGGTAGCTTTTCTTATGTTGTATCTTGGTAATTTGGATTGTCTTTTGATATATGGGTGTATTTGTTTATGGTTAAAGTTTGGATTATTTTTAGGTGTTGATTAAGCAATTTCTATATCTATATAAAAAAAACTCTAGATAAGAATTATTATTGATCATTTATGAATTCCTAGAAAAGAATGAAGAATTGTAAATTCAACCTTCAGCAACTTGAAAGGAAATTGCTTGATACTTTTTAGGTTCTAATTTGAAGAAAATTATTTTTTTATTCTCTTTCATTTTGTCAAGCAGGAAGAATATATTTACACCACGGATCCACAGAAAATTGGCTCTTTTAAACATATTGGAAGGTGAAACCTTGTTGTCTCAGCTCATCCACTTTTAATTGTTAGGCCAATTATGCTTTTAATCAGGATTAAGTTAACCCCTTAAATTTGTTGCAACCTTCAGAACTGTAGCCAGTGAGCTTTGGCATGTCTATTTGGTTAAAAAGTTTCCGTCGTGCAGATATGCAGAGTCAGTTAATGTGCAGTGGGTGTAGGACAATTCTTCTTTATCCGAGAGGAGCTTCTAATGTCTGCTGTGCTGTGTGCAATGCACTCACCGCTGTCCCACCTCCTGGTATCTGTCTCGAATTTCTGTGGCAATTGTTTGGATTGAGCCACTCTCCCTCCATGTTAATTTTTGTTATTCGAACGTGTTGCTTTTGTGATCTTTCTGCAGGAATGGAAATGGCTCAACTGATATGTGGAGGCTGTCGTACATTACTCATGCATCCACGTGGGGCAAGCAGTGTGAGATGCTCCTGTTGTCACACGGTGAACCTTGTTCCAGGTACAAACTTGAAACTTCCTTTTTCTTGATTTCTGAGACTATTGTTTGTCTGCTTATGACATCTTAGAGTCTCTTCCTCGAATCCATGTAAGCCTGACTAAATCTGTTTATATGTATCAATTGTGGGGTTAAGAAAATATTAGTGGAATCTGTACATGAGCAATCAGAGTGGGGTGTATGGTGAATAACTCTTTCCTGCCCAAACGTAATGGTTCTTTCCCCCTTGGTTTCTATCTTCTCTATCATGCTAGCTGGGAAGTTTTGCCCCGTGTCAGAAGCTACATAATTTCAAGGTGGACGATGGTCAGGAGGGAAACAACATTTGTAGATTTACGATGCTAAAATTGTGATGTGGCAAGGGCAATTGGATAGTAATGTTGTGTGCAGAATTAGGTGCCCTTTTAGTTTTTTACTAGAGCTAAGCTGTAAAGAAAGTGTTTATAAGATGAATAGATGAGTAGTTATCTCTGATGCATTGCATCAAGAGGGGATTAGACCCAAAAAGTTTGCATACTCTATCTTTCACTAGAATTTTTATAAAGTGAAAGAAGGTAAATAAACTAGATAAGTGGTTTTGGTTTGAGGGTTTAGTGGCCTAGTTAGAACTTAGACTTCTGGCTCCATTGTCTACATCTGCCAGTTTTATTTCAAAGAATTTCCTGGACAACATGTAACTTTGCTGATGCTTCAGGTCCTAACCAGTTTGCTCACGTCTACTGTGGAAACTGCCGTATGATGCTGATGTATCCATGTGGAGCTCCGTCAGTTAAATGTGCAATATGCCATTATATTACCAATGTTAATGTGAGTATGATGTCTCTTTTTCTTTTTGATCTTTGCTGAAAAGTTTTGGCTGATGCTTCATATAGCTTACTGTTTTTTCCTATGCAGATGCACCTGCACAGTTACTTAAGAAAAAGATAAGAACAAAAAAGAATGGATTTTAAGATTATGCTTTTGGTGCATGAGAATTCAATTGGATGCAGTATATTTCATTATTATTCCCGTTGCTAATTTGTCTATAACAATCTGCTCTTTCCTAAAGAAGGGGTGCTTATTTAGCTTCGTCAAACACACACACACACATACACAGAGGCTAATGGCGCACGGCTCGAAACTCGGTGTGTATAATGAGTTTGTCCCTCTATCCTTCTCCACTTAAATACCAGTGCGGCAGGTTTCGAACCTGTGACGTGTGCCTAACCCACCTATCACGTGTTGCACTCTTACAGGGCCAAAGCTCTGGGGTTGTTCTACTTTAACATTTTTAATGTTGAATTGCTTTTTCGTGTGCTGCCATTTCAATGATATCTAATATTAGAAAATTCATTATAAAGAATTTGCTTGATTTGGGTGAGTTTTCCGAGAGCTCCAAAGATAAGAATCAGATTCTATGCATATTCTGTAAAATATTTTCTATATAGTTGTAGAATATTTACCTATCTTGTTACAATCAGAGAATAACTTATAGTCTGAACTTGTAGAATCATTGAAAGCGACTAATCCTTGCTGCATATCATGGATTGTAAAGCAAGTAGGCTAAATTGAAAATGTTTTTTGAGGACTACTGCAAATAAAAGTGTGAGCGGTTTGGCTGAAATTTAAAACCTTGTAGAAGTTTTATGGAGAAGCTTATGTGGGAAGAAGATTTCGAATCGTTTTTTCTCGTGGAGAATTATGGTCTAGAGCTTGTGATACCAACATCACCAGTCAAATAAATGCAAACGCAAGGAGATATATAATCATCCTGATTGATTATTATTTTTATTTGGAGAAGTTTATAAGTAGTTGATGTTGCCAATTGTGGCAAAAGAAAAAAGAAGGTTAAAGAAGCAAAGATTAAAAAAAAAAAAAAAGTGATGTGGAAACTGTAAAACACGTTAGTCGTTGATTTCTCCTGTGCCTGTTAAGCTTTAGCCAAAATCAGGTCTTTTGTAGTTACTAATTCATCTTTTAAGCTACTTGCATGCTTACCTGATTGTGGTAAGAAATTTTAGTTTTCATGTGTTTATATATTTGTCGTTGCAGGCAGGAGATGGAAGAGTCCATGTACCTAACGGCACTGCAACACCTGCTTCAGGATCCTCTTCTTCAACAGTGAGTTCATCAGTCTGCTGCATTTGTTTCTTTCTGTTTTACAATTTTCTAATTTGACTAGAATTGACTTCTGAAACGTGTTTGTATCTGCTTTAGGCCAAGGCTCGTTCTCAAAACCAAACTGTCGTCGTTCAAAACCCAATGTCTGTCGATGAGAGTGGAAAGTTGGTAAGCATCTATTTGTTCATTCATTTATTTATTAGGCCTCTTCAGATTCAAGTTGTCTGCCTTATTATTAACGATACAATTTCTACATTTTTCCAGGTGAGCAATGTTGTTGTTGGCGTAACGACAACATAGTTACATATGAGTTAAAGAAGTTGTTCTTTGAAGACGGTTGAAAAGTTTTGCTCGCATCAATGGAAAGACGAGTATAAAGACGGCTCGCTGCATATAAATATGGTAGTGTCTAGTGTTAATACTATAGCCATACCCCTATTTTTCTGTAACATTTTGAATATGATTGGGTGATTGAGGCTACAGTGATTTGTGTGATTATTTGGAGTCAGTAATTGATGAACTACG